TCTTCAAAATCTAATAATGTCTGAGAATTTATAATATCAATATCTGTTATCATATCTATATCTGTTCTAAAAGGTATATCATATTTTGAAATATTTTTCTTCCTTTTTTCCAATTTATCTATGATATCTTGTATATCTTTTATAATTATTGTTCTTACAATTCCTTTAGCAAATTTTTTTAATAAGTTTTCTTTGAAACATTTTAATATTTTTTGTGATGCATATAATTGTTCTTGATATCCTATCTTATCAATTTCTTTTTCAAACTTAATTTCTTTTTTATTTTTGACAACCTTTTTTATATTATATGGTCCTCTCTTATATTTGGGTTTTTCTACTTTAAAATTAGTCATTAATAATTCTCACAAATTTTTAAAAAAATTATTTGTTAATTATTTAAGGACTTAAATAGAAGATTTATATTAGATAAAGGGTTGTTTTTTAATATTTGTTTAAGGGTATTTTAGGTAGTTCAAAATGTTTAGAAAAGTCAAAGGTTATTTTGGAAAATCCTTCCTTTATTTAGGTCAATTTGAGGTATTTCCCATTTATATCAAAGTTACTTGAAGTGCGAATTGAACCCACATTACCTTGTTGAAAGGTTGAAGCCTTGACCATCATGGTAAATGTAGAATTACAATAAATAATGTCAGCCAAATATATATATTTACTTTAATTAGAAAGGTATAAAATAACATTTATATTGTCTTTTTATTTAAAAAAATTATTTTTAATCAAAATTAAGAATTAACATCGACCCACCGGTTCAACCACTAACCTCCAGTTGAACCATTGACCCAATGACCCTATAGTTTTTCTGAGTTAATGATCGGGTCGGGTCGAGTCTGATAACTATGAGGCTGAGTCGAGCTCGATTTTCAGTTTGGTGTTCTGAACCAAGCCTAGTGTCCTGGGCTCATAGGCTTCACGGATCGATTTTATGTTATATTTAATTTTTCATTTCGAATTTTTCTCTAAACTTTGTTTTATGCCAGAGGAGGGCTACACACACATATACTCTTAAAAAATTCAAATGTACTCGTGATATTTAAGTCATTGGCATACAAGATATGGATGGCTCGATACTTGAAATCTAGTGAGTTATTTTCTCTACTCAAGTTTCGTCTCATTGATATTCTTAACGGAGTTTTAACGAGGCAACATTTTATTACTGTAAATTATTTGTACTATTTTTTCCCCTGTCTTTGGTATTTTTATCTTATCGAGTTTTTGCCAAATAGAATTTTTAACAAGGTAGTTATTGTGTAAATAGTCAATTCAAGGGGAATTAGTGTAAATAAAATAGTATTTATGAAATGAAATAATCATTATATCTGTACAACCCTAATTGTAATCTATAAATATGGAGCCTTGGATCTCAATAAAATATACACACAAGTCTATTTACTTCTTTATTTTCTTGTCTTTCCTCTCTAGTTTATAACCTTGTAGATTTCATTTAATATTTTTTCAACGCCTTCATTTGTTGGAATTTTGGGATTTCCTCACTTGTAGATTATTGCATTGCACAAGATTTGCACTCGCCACCCTTTCGAATAGAAACTAAGGACATATAATGTTTCATGAGCAATAAATTTGCAAATGAAATCATCTTAGTTAATTTTCAGACATGCCATCAATAGTAGGTCCTTTGAAGTTTTAAAACATACATTAATGACTAATTTGTCTTCCCGATTTATTAGGAAGATTTAGGCCGTGGTTGGTTTGTCGTTTTCGGCCCATTTTTCACTTTCCATTTTCGAAAACACGGAAAACGCATTTGGTCCGTAGTTTTCGAAAATGCATTTTCGAAAACGAGTTAAAATTTATAACTGAAAACGCAAAACGACTTTTTATCGTTTTCAGTTATAAATGTCGAAAACGCTCAAAACGCGGAAAACGGACCGTTTTCGAGGAAAACTAAAAATCATTTTAAAAATAAAAATGCAAACCAACTACTACCTTAGTTTTCTAGGGATTTCAATCCATTAAGCAAAGTAAAATAGATAACGTTGTAAAAAAATTTCATCTCAATTGGTATCTTTAAAAATTTGCATTTTGTTGATCTGCTAATAGTTTTATCTTGCTATAATGCTATATATGAAAAAATGGGAAAGGACATTCACAACATCCATTCATTGAGAGGATTACTAGGACAATGGAATATAGTGCTGGCTGTAGCAAAAGATTTGATCACCAATGACTTTTTTGGGGCTCAGTATCAATCCAACCAATCAACATCTCAAAGAAACCAACCCAAATCCCCTCAACTATCCCAACTTTGGTTGCTTTAGTATTACCCACTTAAGACACAAGGTAAGGGTGTTATTGTAGCCACAAAGGAAAAGAAAGAAGATGAAGAAGGCACGGTAAAGAAAAGCACAAAGCTGGGCATCGTTTTCACCAAAGGGAGGGGAAGCAATAACACACATGATCACAACAAAACAATGGAAGTGGCAATATATAATTAGGTATAGTGATGGGCCAAGCCCAATATAGAATCCGTAAGTGGGGCTAGTATATCACTAAATGGACCGATACTTATAAGCCGTCCACAAAGTAGGGGAACGGGACATGAGCAGCACTAATTGAATTTAGGCTATTTTCAATAGCCCAAATAGTTTTATGGCCAGGTCATTTCATTAAGGTGTCAACTTTTAGTTCAATCATTTGGTCGATATCGATTGAGAAAATTATTTCGATTTTACATCATCACTTGGGAGTTCGTTTGATAACAATTTGTCCAACATTGACAATATAAAAAAGTTTGTAGTCAATTCAATTACAATAGTTGCTCATGTAGATAATACAAAATAAATTTATTTACGTTTACATTTGTGCTCACACAGACACAATTGAAGAGGACGCGGATGAACATTTTCATTGACTATTTAAGTATACTATGCATGATCAGCATCAAGAATTGCGTTTTTGAGTATCTTATTAAAAAGAGCTTACTATATCTGAGCCCAAATCCAGAGTATGAAATCCTCATACACTAACATCAATAGAGGAAATCATTTGAGATTTCTTAACGCCTTGATTTGATAGAATTTGACAACGATTATCCAAAAAAATTTCTTACATTTTAACCACACATTCTCAAAAATTTACATTTCAAAACTATGTTTTTGAATTCTAAAGGCCATTAAACTAGTGGCTTGATAAAAAATAAAATCTAAAATTTTTTATAAAATAATAAAATCGTACATTTTTATTGAGATTATCGATAATTCTCGTCGATAAGCAAAGGCGCGTTGGTGATAATCAATGATAACAGTATCAATAATTTTGTCCAAAATCATCAATATATTGATTTTTTGCTACAATCACCTAAATAATACTGTCGACACAATAATCAATGCTCTCTCTCTTTTTCTTTTTCTTTTTAATTGGTGATCAGTGCTCCATTTAATTTATTTATTATTTAAAAAGTTTCTAATTTATTTAAGACCCTTCAATTGTTTGAAACGTACTAGAATGCCTTTTTTTTTTTTTTAAGAGCTTCTTTCCTGCTCTCCTCACATAGTTGGCTTCGTATATATTGTAAACTCGTATCTCGTTCTCACTAAAAACATCTTTTCATTTCAACTTCTTCCTACGTGGTTATTAATCGAGATGTAGAAGTTCGAAAAGAATACCAAAACCGAGTCTCAAGTAGACAATTAAGCGGTTCAACTAGACTTAGGCATTTGGTCATATTTTTAACTTTCAAGTGTTTATAAGTAGTGAATCTTACTATAAATGTAAATTATAAATGAATAGTCGATTGTGAATCTTACGAAATTTGTAGAAATATATAAATTGAAAATTATGTGTAACCAACTTAAACGAAATATAAACTTTACGAAAACATACACTTGGTCATTTTAGATTGCTTATTTCATGGGGTATCATATGACCATTTAGCATCCCACTATGATCTCAAAATCATATTGAATTAATGTTAATTAGTAACGTAGGACGAGTAGCTAATTGTGTGGGGTGTTCATTGTCCTTTTGTTATTTAAGTTTCCATTACCATAAGCTAAAAACAAGGAGAAAAATAGTGGTTGAGGCCCCAAAATCCCAATGCATTATGAACTTTAAACTACTTTAGTTATCTTTTGAAATCAAACTTCATTACTCCAATTAATATAAGATTGATTAGAATATTGCCTATGCACAAAAGATTTTTCTGGCCAGATACAACTTAGACTTGTCCACTTTCCATTAAAAAAGTTGCACATAAGTCTATAATGCAAACAATTATTATGGTTATATGATTATAACCTAATTATAACCCATATTATGCCATTATTTTATGGCTCAAAAGATTTTTTTGTGGAGCAAGGATCCATTTGAGGATACAAGGATCCGACTTTACCTCAAAGGAAATTACCCGGATTTTGATAAAAATTTGACCTCAAAAGAAAATTACTGGATTTTGATAAAATGTTGACAAAATATGTAGTTGAAAAAATTCGTGAATCCATAAAGTGAGTGATTACAATTAATTGTTGACCTTGGTCTTAACTTTGTTAGTTATATCAAACAAGCACTAATATCAAAAGTTCTAATAAATATTTAATTAGAATGGTAGTCAAGAAAAATCAAGTTGAATCAAGTATTTAAAGAAATTAACAGTACAAAAATACCCAAAAAAAAAAAAATTGAAGAAAGAAGATCATGAAAAGTGCATGTTTCAAATCTGTGTCAGCATCAATACAGCTTAATCCCAACTATTTTTCTCCCTTAAGTGAAAGGGATATGTCATGATGATGCAATATTACAATAAACGTGGTGTAACAAATCACGATTCTTCTACTCTCCTCTCCCTAAAATATGTTTTGTTTTACAACACGTTGCTTTGTCAGCGTTTTTATTTTTTATTTTTTATTCAATTTATAAGCAAAGAATTTTCTTGCAGTCTTCTTGAACACTTGGCAAATCTCACTCCTCTATTTATACATCACCATTTTTGCTCCTCTTCTTAACCTCCTCCTCCTCTTCTCTCTCTCTCTCTCTCTCTCTCTCTCTCTCTCTGTATATTTGATCATCCCTTTGAAGCATTTTCGACTGATAGTTCGCGAGAAACAATGGGCTGCTTAAACATTTTTCAAGTGGTTAATGTGATGTTCTCTTCTTTGGTATCTTCATAATTTGCAGAGAAATTTTCTTTTTGATCATTTTATCCATTTTATTCTTTTCAAATAAGCTCATAAAATAATTAATGTGCAATTAAAGCAAATCCACATTCTTTTCATTTCATTATCTTAACTTGATTCGTTATATTAGTGGTCCGAAACTAGCAGTATAAAACCTTCCCAGGGAAATTATCGTATCGAACAATTTTGGCCGCTTTCAAAAAGTTAAGACTTCCTTCCAGAGAAGTAAGTCTGATGAGTAAAGTAACTTTAAAAGTCAGGTTTGGAGGAAGAAAGTAACTCACCACTAAACATGCTCTGGTGGTAAGACGTGTAATGGGGAAAGTTACCATTTCTGTATTTTGTTAATTTAATTTATTTTTTGTTGTGGTCGAATCTAAATATGTGCTTGAGAGATTATGTCATCCGTTGACATATTCGATAATATCGCGCAAATATGTGCAAAACTTGTTACTTGATACAAGTCAATTTGGCAATATTATTGTTACTTGATACAAGTCAATTTGGCTTCTTCTTCCTCTAAATAATAATTTCCATGATATATGGAAAACTTTATAATGAGAGATTGAAAAAAAAAATACAAATACATTTATCGAAAGCGAAACTAAACTTTATTTTAATTTTTATCAGAATCGAGTCAAGGAGATTACAATGAAACGACAAGAAGAAATCACTTTTGATGGAAGTGCAGATAAGCGTGGACATCCCGCAGTGCGCAAAAGAACTGGAACATGGTTTGCTGGTATTCTAATACTTGGTAAGCTCAAAATAAAGAAATTAATTTTTTTTCTATGTAAAATAATTGATTAATTAATATTAGTTATTTGTAGTGAACCAAGGTCTAGCTACGCTGGCATTTTTTGGGGTAGGAGTGAATCTGGTTTTGTTTCTAACAAGAGTTATGGGACAAGACAATGCTGAGGCAGCAAATAATGTCAGCAAATGGACAGGCACTGTCTACATCTTCTCTCTTTTGGGGGCCTTCCTTAGTGACTCTTATTGGGGCCGATACAAAACTTGTGCCATTTTCCAAGCCATCTTTGTGGTTGTAAGTATATGCTTGCCTTGTGGTCTTTAATCATACATAAGAATACCAAATTGGAAATTTTGTCTTTTTTTTTTTTTTTTTCATTGGCTCACATCATGGGCGAAAATGTTTGGACCGTTTGGATTTTTCTTGTTGGTTCTACAAAAATAAAATTACAGTAAAATTTTAAATATTTTATTTCATTAACTAACATGGACGAGCTCGACACACTTTAAAGTCTAGATTGGTCCAGTTGTCTTAGTTTGTTAACCACATACTCTTGATTTAGTCGTCATCAATCTTACTCACTGATAGCTATTTTACTTGGTGTGTATAAAAAATGAATGCACATAAATATAGCTATGCTTAATTGATTGCAGGGTTTGGTTTCACTATCTTTAACATCATACATATTCCTAGTTAAGCCTAGTGGCTGTGGGGATGAAAAAATACCTTGTAATCCTCACTCCACCATTCATGTTGCTCTATTCTACGTATCCATTTACTTGATTGCCCTTGGCAATGGAGGGTATCAGCCCAATATTGCAACATTTGGAGCAGACCAATTTGATGAAGATCACCCTAAAGAAAGCCGCTCAAAAGTGTCCTTTTTTAGTTACTTTTACTTGGCGTTAAATCTTGGATCTCTCTTTTCAAACACGATTTTGGGTTATTATGAGGACAAGGGAATGTGGGCATTAGGGTTTTGGGCGTCAGCTGGTTCAGCTATTGTTGCACTAATCTTGTTCCTTGTTGGGACACCAAGGTACAGACATTTTATACCAAAAAGTAATCCTCTTTCAAGGTTTTGCCAAGTGATTATTGCAGCATTAAGAAAATGGAACGCTGAGCTCCCCTCAGTAGATGATGAATTATATGAAGTAGATGGTAAGGAGCTTGCAGAAAATGGGGATAAAAAAATACTTCATACCCATGGATTCAAGTAAGTGTTAAGTTTCTCTTTTTGACATATAAATATTATTAAATTTGGGGACATAAGATTTAGTTTCTTATCATTGTATGTAGGTTCTTGGACAAAGCCGCAGTTATCACGACAAATGAGTATAATTTAGAAGGAAATGATCTTGGCTTTAATCCATGGAGCCTTTGCTCAGTTACACAAGTTGAAGAAGTAAAATGCATACTTAGACTTCTTCCAATTTGGCTATGCACCATACTATACTCTGTTGTCTTCTCTCAGATGGCCTTTCTTTTCGTAGAACAAGGGGCAGCCATGAAAACCATTTTCATAGGCTTTCACATTCCTCCAGCCAGCATGTCTAGCTTCGACATTCTTAGCGTTGCAGCTTTTATTTTCATCTATAGGCGAGTTCTCGACCCCCTTGTTGCAAGATTGAGAAAGTTTAGTTCCAAAGGGCTAACTGAGCTCCAACGAATGGGAATTGGCCTAATTATAGCTATAATGGCAATGATGGCAGCCGGTACAGTCGAGCATTTTAGGCTGAAATACGTGCCGGAAGATTGCTTGAAATGTTCGAGTACTCTGAGCATATTTTGGCAAGTTCCCCAATATGTTCTAATTGGCGCATCAGAGGTTTTCATGTACGTTGGACAACTGGAATTCTTCAATGGGCAGACGCCCGATGGTTTGAAGAGCTTTGGAAGTGCACTTTGCATGACTTCCATATCATTAGGAAATTACGTGAGTAGCTTGCTAGTGACTATAGTCATGAAAATTTCTGTTTCTCATAAAATGCCGGGATGGATTCCTGGAAACCTCAACAAGGGTCATTTGGACAGATTCTACTTCCTTTTAGCAGCTCTAACAACTATTGATCTTGCAGTGTACATTGTGACAGCAAAATGGTACAAGTACATAAAATTTGAAGAGAGGAATGTGACAAACAATGGAGAAATGCATCAAGATTTTAGACTAGTCTAGATATAATTACAATCTTCTTCTTTCATTTTCAAAGTGGTATATTAATAAAGAAAATGCAGAAGAGTGGCATGGTATGCTGCGATTGCCATTGTAAATAAGAGAGTACGTGAATTTGTATGGGCAAGGAAACTAGAGTAATGCATTCACTTCTCTAAGTTGAGCAATATATGAGGGGAAGCAGAAGACGAGGAAATTTATTTATTTTTTTATTCAAAAGTACTCTAAAGTTTGTTAGAAATCGAAACCCAAGATTCTCGATATTTTTTAAACCCTTTTCTTTAATGTCAAGATCCTCTATGTTAAATCATCAAAAGAATTAAAAGTGCAAAACATACAATGATTTATTGGGGATGAAGAATCTTCTGCTTCAATACAGTTTCTCTCTATATCCTTCTGATTATGGGATGACAAATAGAATGAGAAAATCACATATAAATTGAGATCATATCCCAATTAGATATCTCCATATGTATTTCGGTCCATTATAAAATACAAGCCAAAGGAATTTGGTCTCTACACATAATTAGGCACATACTATATTAGATGCTCGAAGTCCAATAACTTTAATTTTTTATTAGATAACTTTAAATGGGTTTTACATTAAGGTAGCCTTTAATATACAATTAAGGGAAAATTTCATAAGTAAGAGAATAAATATGGCATTTTTCAAAATTAAGAAAACAAACTTCAAAAATCAAATTTTTATTAAAATTTATATATGATTTAATTAATTACTTAATTATTTTATTAATTAAATATATTTAGGTCATATATCTATACAATTTGGTCACAAATTAACAATTTTAATTAACCACAAATCAGAAATTTTATGTCACAAATTATTTTACGATCACAATTCAAAATTTTGTGAGTCACAGTTTCTTTATCGTTCACAAATCAAAAAATTAATTAGTCACAGACTAATTTTTAGTCACAACTTATCAAATTACTGGTCACAACTTATTTTTCGTTCACAAATCAAAATTTTTATAGATCACATTATTTTTTGGTCAGAAATAAAAAAAAATTCTAAGTCACAGCTTATTAGACATTCACAAGTTATTAATTTTTTAGTTCACACATTATTTTTTTGTCACAATTTATCTTTTTCATTAGTCACGTATTGTTTATTGATCGCAGATTAACCTCATTAGTCACAGTCAACCAAATAATTTGTGACCATCACTAACACTTACGATCACCACTTCAACGCTGCCTCCAATAGCACCACCACCACTGTCATCGCCAAAACTATTACTACATTGATCAAAAATTAACCAATTTATTGGTCACAACTTTCAGTCAACCAATAAAATTGTCACTTACACCCACTCTCCATCCCACCACTCCAAAGCACCGCACCATCGCCAAGCACAAGCGATGCCGCCCACCTCCACCACCATCGACATCACCATCACTACAACACCAATAGCACCCATGCCCCATCCCATCCCACTACTCCAAAGCACCGCACCACCGCCAACACCAGATCATGTCACCAATGCCATTCCCACACACAAACCACCCGCCACAAAAAATCACCACCGCAAGATCTACCAACAAAATCACCAACACCCCACAACCACCATTGCCTCACTGTCATCGTCGCCACTTCCAACAACAAACAAAATCACCGCCACCCATCACCACCTCCACCATTTTTAACCACAACCACACCCAAACACACCTTCACAGAATAGGCGAGAATAAACTAGCTAGCCAAAAACACCAAATAGAATCGTCGCCACCAACAACAAACAAAATCGCCAAAAGCCTCTACCAAATCTGCCAGATCTGAGCACCGCTGCCAAGCGCCGCTCACAACGCTGCTCGCCGCAACGAACGGCGTTTCACAACGGCGAGTGTTGCTCTCTCCGATGAAGCGCCTCTGTGCATGACTTCATCGGAGATAACAACACTGATTGGTGGTGTCTTTGGCAACAGGAGAGGGAAATGGTAAAAATATGGAGAGAGGATAGAGAAAAAGGGTAGAAAAAAGTAAGAAGAGAGTGGTGAGAAGGCTTGATCATCACCGGATAAGAGAGTGAGGGATAGAGAGAGACGATCAAGGGAGAGAGAATAGATGGGTAATGCGTAGTGATGGCTGGGTAGTGGGTAGGGTTTTATTTTTTTGGGTAATTAGTGTATTTAAATAACTAATAAAAATATCTGATTTTTGAAATATCAAACTTTCAACCTGATTTAGGAATTTTGAATAATTAAAGTATGATTTTGTGTAATTTTCACTACAATTAATTATGTATGTAGGCCCACGTGACAAATTAAAATTCAACAATCTCACACTTGGACCACATATGTTACTTTATAAATGTGTATAAACTTATGACGTCAAAACAATTGCTATCATAACCAAAAGCATTTTCAAACAATCTCGTCTATTGATTATGTCAATATAGGATCAAAGCGATATTCATTACATATATCATAACTAAACCCATTAATGGTAAAGTATATAAACATAATCAAACGATGTAGATCAAATATGAATGTATAGCATGAAAATTAAATGCAATGTGATCAAAACATGCACATTTCCAATTTGTCTTACCTTATTCTTTACTAAGATCAAACCAAAACTTAATCACAGTAAAAATAACTAAATTACCATAAACATAAAAATGTGTCTAAATCAAACAACATTCAAATACAAAACGCCCACTAAATTAGCATATTATCTAAAGATTCAACACCCATGCGAGTAGTGTGCTCATGAAAGACTTTGAGTGGTAACTTTGTAGTAAATGGATATGTTATCATAGAGTCTGTGCCAATATGTTCTATACTAACATAATCACTCTGGACTTTATCATTTACAACTAGGAATTTGGGGTCTATAAACTTAGACTTCATTGACATCCTGTTGTTGTTGGAATACAACACAACTGATTTATTGTTAAAAAAAATAACATGAGTTGTCTTTCAATTCCATCTAAATGCGTAGTCCAATGACAAAATTTTGCATTTATATTCCTTGATTGGATGCCTTATAACATGTTATTGTAGAGTCTACTTAAGCGATCTAAACATGCTTTAATCAATAAAATAGCATTTAGATCAATCCGAAATAAATTGGATCGAAAAACGTACATCCCGCCATTGTCGTTGTTCACACACTTTCTCAAACTTGTAGGTGGTGTTTAACTTCGGGTTAAGGCTCTTCTAAGCCCTCTTTCTCACTGCTTAGATAGTGTATGCAGACTGAACGTGAAAATGAGCTTAGGGACATTTCGAATGGATCTCAACACCTTTAAAATGCTCTTCTCATCATAGAGCTGTTATGCACGTCCTCAGATTATGAGTGGTTACCAAACATGATTTTAAACGATGGGTTAACTGTTTCATAGTGGGACATGGGATATGTGAACCACTCTTAAGTTGGTTATAATCCAACATTCTCCCACTTGATCCATATATACCATCATTCATCATAATAAGAAATATAATACATGAATTATGGCGATATGTCCTCTAAAGCGAGTATTATCTTCCATGTATCACAGTGTATCATGTCTCTTAAACACCAACCCATATAACTTAATGAATAAACCCTATGTTTATTCAAGGTCCAAACTTAATGATATTTCTCAAGGTAAATGATATACAAATATGTGCACAAAACAAATGAGAAAACATCAACTGAATAAGAGTTTCATTAAACATCAAATGTACGTACAATAAAATTATTTCATGGAACCAATTCCCATTCTCGCGACATGATCCTTAAAATTCTTTGGTGGCATGCCTTTAGTCAAAGGATCAGCAATCATTAACTCAGTGCTAATGTGCTCAATGACCACTTTCTTCTCCTTAACACGTTCTCTATTGGCTAAGTATTTAATATCGAAGTGTTTACTTCGACTACCACTCTTGTTGTTCTTAGCCATAAGCATAGCAGCTGAGTTGTCACAGTACAATCTCAATGGCCTAGAAACTGAATCGAGTATTCTAAGCCCAGACATAAAACTCTTCAACCGTACACCATGTGAGGTAGCCTCAAAACAAGACACGAACTCGACCTCCATAGTGGAAGTAGCAGTCAAGGTCTGCTTCGCGCTTCTCCAAGATATAGCTCCGCCAGCAAGCATGAAAATGTAACCAGATGTTGATTTTCGTGAATCAACACAGCCAGCAATTCTACATCCGATTAACCAACCACTTCCAGATTGTCAGTTCGTCTGTACATAAGCATGTAATCTTTGGTCCCCTGAAGGTACCTCATCACTTTCTTTGCAGCTCGCCAGTGGTCCACGCCTAGATTACTCTGATATCTTCCTAGCATTCCAACAGCAAATGCAATGTCAGGTCTGGTACAGACCTGAGCATACATTAGGCTTCCAATGGCTGAATCATATGGAATGTTTTTCATCTATTCCTGCTCGAGCTCATTTTTGGGACATTGAGTTAGGCTAAACCTGTCACCTTTCACAATGAGTGCTACACTAGGCGAACAGTCCTTTATCCGAAATCTCTCTAAAACTTTGTTAACATAGGTCTCTTGAGACAAACCTAAAATGCTTTGAGATCTTTCCCTATGGATCTTAATGACAATGACATAAGATGCCTCACCCATATCCTTCATATCAAAGTTCTTTGAGAGGAATTGTTTCATCTCATGCAGCAAACCCTTATCGTTGGTTACAAGTAAAATATCATCCACATATAGAACAAGGAAACAAATCTTGCTCCCACTGAACTTCTGGTATATACAATGATCCATGACGTTCTCTTCAAAACCAAACGAAGTGATCATGTCATGGAATTTCAAATACCATTGATGGGAAGCTTGTTTTAATCCATATATGGATTTATTAAGCTTACAGACTAGGTGCTCACCACCACTAAAGGAGAATCCTTCGGGTTGTTTCATCTAAGCCTCTTCCTCTAGATCACCATTAAGGAACACCATTTTCACATCAATTTGGTGTAAGTCTAAATCAAAATATACAACCAATGCCAAATTACTCGAAGGGAATCTTTCTTAGATACATGAGAGAATGTCTCTGTGTAATCAATTCCTTCCCTTTGAGTGAATCCTTTGGCAACGAGTCTTGCTTTATGTCTCTCAATGTTGCCTAGTGAGTCTTTCTTTGTTTTAAAGACCCATTTACATCCAATGGCTTTTACACCATCAGGCAACTTGACGAGATCCCAGACTTTGTTAGATGCCATCGAATCCATCTCATCTTTCATGGCATTGTACCATAAACTTGATTCTTTACAAT